TTCCGCAAGTCTGTATGACGAAGTCGTCCCTCGGGGCTCGCCCGAGTTTCCGCGCCCTTGACACTCGGGATATAACTCCATCCCCCGAAATTCCGTCGAAACAAAAGTATCCGGAACAATTAGATTCCCGACGATCCGAGGAAAAATCTCATCAAGGGAATCCCGAGGTCGCCCGAGAATTGAATTCCGAGGCACGATCCCTGTAAATCCCAGGGAGGCGATTCCCCTTATCTTCGCTCCCGACACCCCCGACCAGGGCACTGAACCATCGGTCCGGGGTTCTTCGAATTTTTTTACGAATCCTGGACATCGCCGGAGATATCCCGCCTTTCATTGGAATCCCCAGACGAGAGGGTGCAGACGCGTCTAAGCTGGACCAGGTCTTGGAAAAAGGGGAGGACGAAAAGTCCGGGCCATTAAGGAGAGGACGTGTCTCCAGGACGTTTTACGGCTCCTGGAAGTCCTGCGAGACATCCGGGGTACAGAAGACGGAGAGAGGGAGAGGATATGGGGAGCAAAAGTAGAGCGGACGAGCAATTTAAACGGAAGCAGCTCGTTACGAGGGTACGGGGGTATCATGCAAATCCACCCTTAAACGTATGATTCAGCTGCCCGGACTCGGAGAGTCGCCCCGCCACCCCCAGCTTCCGCTGGACCCGAAACCCCATTGGCCGACTCATTAGGCTGACCAGTCCTCGTAAACGAGCCAATCCGCTCCCCGGGCCTGAGAAAATGGCCAATGAAATCGCGCCAGGGTAGTAAAGTCTTCTTCGATAGCTTCCCCGGGTCCCGCTGGCACCTCCAGCCCCCCTAACGATCCCACGACACCTCCTGAATTTTCAAAGATTTTTTCCGAAAAAAAAAATTCCAGGAGTCGCGCGGAAGGAAAATCCAAGGAAACTTGCAACACGGATTTTCCCACCCTTGATGCGGAGGCGCTCTTAAGGTCCTAGCTGCACCCCACTCGTACACGAAGTGCCGTCAAAGCCAGCGAGAGATAGGGTGGTCTTAGACTTGGTTACATTCGCAAACGAAGCACCTGCCAATTAACATGACAATGGAACTCGAGACCGGGCCTTTCCCGAGTTCCCTCTTCTCTTTTTCGACTTTCCCCCCGGATTTCCCTCGGAGGTCTCGTGCACGTTCATCGCGCCGATCCTTCCTAGATTTGCACGAGAGGCACGGCTGCACAAGTGCATAGGTGCACGACAAGGTACCCGATTAAGGGATCGAGACCTCGAGATACCTCCACCCCCGTGAATGACGATGCACCCTCCCCGAATGCCGATTTTCAATCGCACCGATGCATGCACCCTTCCGGTACCTTCCAGGGAGGAAAGTGATTCACTATGGGGCAATTGTGCTTAGCAAGGTGCACGGCATCATGGCGGACACGACATGCACCTGATAACGGCGGGCCCGATAACGCCACCCCTGACCTCCCCCTCGGACGCACACTTAAGTGTTATGTGTTAAGTGTGTAGTGCTGTAAACGTGCTCTCATTTTCTGGCTCTATGTCTCTCTCTCTCTCCCTCTCTCACGCTCTTCTTATTTTCTATCTCCTTCCATGCGATGTGACACACTGCAGCTGCAATTATGTCATGGTCGCGAAGAGGAAGCACGGGGCGGGACGCGATTGCAGTTTTCCCCATTTCCCCGCCGGAATATCGCAATATCTTGAACGCACATCGGGTGGAAAAATCGACGCGTAAATTCCACCGGAGTGTGGCAAAAATGGGGGGTGCGTAATTGCACTTCTCATTGTTTTAAATAATGCATGTCGTCGCGCCGTAGAAGTCGAGACGTAAAGAATGGAACGAAGAGTCGAAACGTTACCTTAAATTCGAGTACTCTCGTTGTACACCCTATGTCGATGGGGTACTATATACTGTTCTGTACTATGCAACTACGTGTGGTGATTGGTGATACAGCGTACTGTACTTGTGATTGCAGGCCCGCAGCGCCAGCACAAGTAGCTTTAGAAGCCTGAGCCAGGTACATACCAAGATGACATATCCACATATAGACCGAGATTAGATCTAGTCATTTAGACAGATATAACTAGATAGACCCTAGAAGAGTATAGATAACACGCATCCGCTGATATTTCATAGAGAGTTAGAACCACACACCGACACTCCACGCACGCGCGACCCGCCGATCCGTGATTGATTATTTCGAGTTCTCGGGGACCCCATTTCGAGTCTCGATAACGAAAATTCTTGATAACGGTCTAGAGTCATCTGGGAAATTGTTGAGAATTTTTTGATAAAAGAAAAAAAAAATATACAGAGATCGTACTATTTTTATTGGACCGATAATCGAAGGCGGAGAAATAGGTAGAGATGGAAATGCCGGAAAAAAAAGTGCTCGGCATAGATACGCAAGAATTCTGGAGATCGGAACATCGACTTTGCAGTCCGGTCCTGCACTAATTGCTGCTTTTTGACGTCGAGTCACATTATTCCTTTTTCGGAGCACACTTCCGTCCGACCGGGGGGCCACTCAATGTCAAGAATGCCTTGTTGAAAAGAGGACCCCTGCATCCAGTGTGCCCTATTGTTTGTGGTATGCCGTGTATGTGTACTTGCAGAGCACAGTGTTTTTGGCGCAGCTCGTTAGTAAAGTAACGCAAGTGAATCGTTAAGCTGACTAGAAATGCATGCTCCTTTAATTATGGCCTCTTCTGGCCCCGAAGGCTGGTCCACGAGGATGCTGCGGAAAGCTATCATAAAGAATGGTCATTGAATAATTCCAAAAATGCGGATAAAAATGTGCAATCCTAGAATCGCGGATCCTGCCATGGACCAGGCTTCCAGTTTTGGTTCTCTCTGAATTCTCTTCCGTCTCTTTATTCTCTTCCGTCACTTATGGTAAGTCTATCCAGGGAAACGGCATGCATGGAGAATGCAACTTTCGGATGGGAAGGAATAATGTCACAGAGGTTCCGATAGTCCGATGAGGGCCACCCCCGTGATAAGATAACGGGCAAACGGCGCTCGGATTTGAAGAACCAGGGGAATTAATGAAAGTTAAACCACCCTTTTATGCGACGCTGAACGACAAACGTCCCCGGGCGAGGCTTCAACGAGCAAATCCTGCTCGTCCAACATGCCAACTTAGTACATGCACTTTTATCGCACGAGTTTCCCCTCTGGCACTTCCATTCCTGTCCTCCCTTCTTCCCCTAAACTCCCAGAAATCAGGGCAACAAGGAGAAAAGTCCCTTCGGTCGCCTCTCCGAATTGTCAGAGTACCTCCAAGAATGTGGGAATATTCCCCACCGACCCCGGTGAAATAATTTCCCACTCCAGATATTCCCCAGGAATTTCGATGACCAAATCTGCAGACTCCCAGGGGAAGGGAGCACTTCTCCAATTTTTTGGGGGATGACAAAGTGGCCCTAATTTCCCGGCTAGATGTCCAATTTCCTTCGACCAAGCCGGATGGCCCATTTCCCGCGAGCCCCGTCCAGTTTTCAGGGGAGCCTCTCTTCCGGAATTGCGGGGGAGGTCTCCCGGTAAGGATTTCGAGAGGACCCGAAATTTTGGAGGATGATAAAGTGTCGTTAATGGCCGGAATAGCTGCAGGGCTGGACCGAGCGGAGGCTGAGTGGCCGGAGAGCAGTCGGTATGAATGGCGAGTAGCTGCCGGATATAAAGCCAAGAGAGGCCAAAAGAGTGGCAAGGAACGAGCTGCAGATTCTTGCCTTCGGAGAGGTCGGAGCAGAGGGGGTTCGCGATCGATCCGCTTCGTCGAGGGTTGGCCCCGGGGGTTGTAACGGCTCGAGAGGCGAGGACAGGATTCGCCTCCTCGAAATCCCGATAAGGAATCGATTATTAATCACTATCCGACACTTCCGATATCCTGCCATCGGTGTCCCCCTCAAGATGGCCGAATATAATGGCCAGATAAAATGGCCGAAAAAAAAAGGCGAGATAAAATAGCCGAGACAAGAGAAATAGGCTATCATCGCCATCGTCGAATTTTCTGAAAATTTCTATTTTCTCTCATTTTGGGACTCGGAGTTTCGCAAAATGGGGGAAGATCTTGTCGAAAGCTCGTCGACTTGGATTCGACGTGGAACGGATGCCGGGTCTAGGCGTTACTGACCTAGAGCAAGAACCCGGGTTGCACTTGAGCCGGAATGGCGGATCCGGAGTACCGAGGCAATCCCAGACGGTTCCTTATTGATCTTTCGGAAGCGGTTTCCGGGTCTTGATACCGGGATAAAATTCGAACACCGGGAAGGGTCGCCTTCCCGACCGGAGCTCTCCTCCGACTTGCTAACTTGCGTTTACCGACTCCGGGAACGTAATCGGGTGAAAAATTCCACCTGGTCAAAGCCGAGAGCGTTGCGCAGCCTCTGGCCTGCAAATTTGACTTTGACTTTCAATGCCGATTGTTCAAAGGGAAATCCCCCACGTCCTGGGGACTGCATACGTGGTCCTGGAACAAACACGAAGGGTCCTGGCGGGGCGGTCGAGTTTTATTTATTTATTAACTCGCCGTAAAGTGGACCCTTCGTTTGGGCTATCTGCGAATAATGCTTTTAAAAATTGATAACAAATGCTGGACCGGGTTTTTCCGGGAGTGGATTTTTTAGCTGATAAAGGAAACGATCTGATGGTTTGGGGAATTATCACGGGGGGATTTGGGAACCGATAATCGTGGCTGATTTATTATCCGCCGTTAAACGGAGGGCCACAAAAGCTCCCTGGATACGAGGCCTAGGGATGTCCGGAACGATCGGGCCATCGCTTCCTGTTCGCGCTGGATATCCGATATGGAGTCCTCAATTAATTTCCCTAGGTGTAAACCGCAGTAGATTTCGATCTTACCGCAGATTATTACAGACCCTCTTTGGCACCGATAATCGGGCCTGATCGATAGGTCGATGCCGATACGCCGGGCTGAACTTTACGAAACCCCCGAAATTTCATCCCCTCCAGGATCTCTTCTCCCGAGGGAGCTTTAGAGCGCGCAAAGAGCAGGATAAAAAGATAAAATAATTTATTTATGCAGACGGTCATTTGCATAACGTTATCGCCGTGATGCACAGCCTCGCACGATGGTGGCCGCGAAGGGGCGCGCTTTTCTCCTCGGGTTTTGCAAAATTCACATCCTTTTGGTATGCAAGCCGCTCGCCGCTTAATCGCCGGTCATCATTTCCATGAATTCTAAAAATCGAAAGAACGTTTAATATCGAATTAGAGTCGGGAAAATGAGAACCAGGGAAAATCGTTCCCCCGGTTTTTAAAGAATTCACGGCCTCCATTCCGTCGAGTGAATTTCGACAGAGGGAATCGTCCTAAATTATGCTCTCCCCCCGGGAAATTCGGAAAAATTGGCAGGTCTCGATCGGGTCGGGAAAATCGCGGCAATTCCTTAACCGGGCAATCCCCTTTCCCCGGATTGAAATTTATCCCGTAATTTACGGATCGTGGGAGTACCTTCGGGCGGCTCGTTAAAATTTAATAAATCCGGCAAAAGAGAGGTCGAAAAATCCCCGGGGGGTCCTCCGGGCCCGAGCCGCGTGAAAATCCGCCCGAAATTATGTTCGTTATTAACGAGACCGTTCGGTCTTCTCCGGGTGAGAAGCTGCGCTTTTCGAAAATAATTACCAGCCGAGGAAAATAGCGGGCGCGTTGAATCCGATAATTTTCCCGCTTTCCGTTTACCCCTTTCCCAAGGTGGCACAATACCGCGGCGACAAAACTGCAACTCGACAGAAGGGCTTCGAAAATATGACGAAAGGGGAGAGGACGAAGGAGAAAAAGTAAGACGCGGACAAAGAAGGCTCCCCAACGCCTCTAATTTCTCCGGGTCTCGGTGAATACTCTTCTGGAGAAGTAAGTAAATGGGACGCAGGAAAGCTTTTCAAGAAAGCTCCTCGACCTCGATATTAACGTGTTGGCGGATTAATCAAGCCCGGCCCCTTAGGGGATCCCGTAATTCTTTCACAAAGACGGCCTCTAAAAATTAGTCCCCCGAGCTTTCTCGTCTTTTCGCGCCTTCTAAATTTCATTTCAATTTTCCCGCGAAGTGGTCATTATCCAGAATCTCCCGATTACAGTCCAAGTAATCGAAGTCGATCTCGGTCGTAAAATCCGATCCAGGAATTACCGTCGAAGTCGACAGTGCCCGATCCATCGGTATCGATCTCGGCGATCATGCCATCCATCTGATCAGGGGTGATCTGGTCGTCCAGAGCTGCCAGGATTTCCCTCAGAGAGCTGGTCGGGATGTAGCCGTTTCCCTCTTTGTCGTAAAGACGAAACGCCTCCTTCAGTTCCTTCTGCAGGGCCTCGTCGTCCTCCTCCTGGAAGTGGCTGGCCACGCGATAGAAGGAGTCGAAGTTGAGCCTTCCGCTTCCTTGAAAAGAAAATTCACAGAGTCCATTCCTGCATAGCTATCCGGGCTGAATATAATCTCGAGGACCTTCCTGACCGATTGGCAGGATTTTCCTGATGCTTGGAATTTTTTCACATTTTTTTTTAAGGAAGTTTTCCATATATTTCGGATTTTTTAGAGGCTCCTGACATTAAGGCGATTCCTTGCGGTGGGGCTTAAATCCATCCATACGGAATGGAAAAAGGACATCGGCGAAACGTTAATGCTCCCGAATGAAATATAAGCTCGTCGGATGAGATTTAAGCCCATTGTTCCGCGGCACAATTGCGCGGTATTGCCGCAGCTACTCGCGCGCCATTGTCATGCGAACTTAAATGTCGAAACTTTTCATTTCCCGATCCGAGGAAATGGTACATTTCTGTCCGGGATGAACTCGGGGAAATTCGCGTCCGGCAACTTTTCGAAATCGCTCGATTTAGGGAAAAGAGGAGAGCTTTATGGCGTACCGAAAACGAGGCCGCAGCGACCTGGCACGCGTTTTTTCGCCCCATCGACTGCAACGGCCCGTAAATCACCGAAAGTACCCAGAAATGGCACCGAACTTTTACACCGCGAGGATAAATTATCTGGCCGGAGTTAATTCAACATCCCACCGAGAGAAATTCATTAAAGTCGGGAAATTCAATGATTTCGGAGGAGGAGAGTTAACGCTGGAAGGGAAATCCCTCGGGAGAGGAATTCTCCGAGAAAGATGAAAAATTCAGTGAAAAATCGAAAAGCGACCTCGGCGACCTTAAAATAAAAATTCGAGAGTGTTCCAGCAGAGAGCCTCCCTCGGGAGGGCATCCTTGAGGAGGTCCCTGAAGGACCGTTCCCTCTTCCGAGGGTCCTCAAAGGCGATCTCGTCCTGACAACCGTCTGGCTGTTCGCAAAGCAATGGACATTTACGGGGAAAATTCAGCGACCATGAACGACCTCGTTCCGAAATTCTCAAAAATTCCGCTCAGAAATATCGCAAAGGGCTCTCGAGTTCCTGGTTTACCGTCTTCGTCCTCCTGTTCGAGCAAGACCTCCAGCTCGTTGTCGTCGAAGGTGTGCCCGAGGGTGTTCAAGATGGTCCTGACCTTCTCCTTCTCGATTTTCCCAGATTTAGTGGAGTCGAACATGGAGAACGCCCTCCTGAGCACTGGATTAGAAATTCAAAGATTAATCCGGAATCCTCTCGTTAACCCTCCCCCTCGGTTCAATTACTCACTCTGCACTTGCTCCTCGTCCTGAAAAATAATGAAGCGATTAAAAAGCCGTCAGAATTTTTATTCAATTATTAAGTGAAAAAGAAAAAAAGAAAAAATTCCAATTAGGACCGAGGCACGATTAAACTGCACTGCTCGATTAATCGATCCATCGATCCTCGTCACTTGATGACGGTGCACCTCGCGGATAATCGCCGATCGTGATAGCGATAACAAAAAAATTATAATCCGGATATTAAGAAAGATCGTCCTATTTTCACCGAATTTTCTCGCGACACAATTTTTTTTTTGGATTTCTGGAAAATGGAGGAAAAATCGGGGAAGCCGAGTCCAGTTTATCGTGCCTCGACGGTCCTTTCACTGACCATTTTTGAGTGGTTTTCCAAAATGCCGCGCTTCGAGGAAGGAACCGCACTAATCTGGGCGGTCGTCGGCGATAACTCTTATAACTTCCCGAAGAATTTTCCCCAGCCTCCCACCGTCCACCCACGGGAAGACGCCACCATATTCTATTCCCGGAGCCGGCTATAATGCTGCGGCGCCTCGAGAAAACGCCTCCACCAATCGCGACGGCGACCGCAAAGACATGACGAAATTCCAACGGGAGCTTGGGAAGGTTTCCCGCGGGATGGCTGTTCCCTTAGGACGTTTTTAGGCGAGGACGACATTTTTGGGACCAGCTGTAAAGAGATCTTCCGCGCGCCCAAGAAGAGTTCGGCCAGGTCGCACCGCGTGTCTAAACCTTTTTTATTTATGTATTAATTTTCTTAATCGATCCTCCGAAAGGAGGATTTATAAATATCTATTGGAGATGTTAGACTTAATTTTTTTAAATTTTTTTCTTCTGACACGCGTTGGAAAAAATGAAAATCCTCGTCGAGCGCGGTTTATAGAATTCCCAGGTCCCTTCGACGCGAGGGAACGACGCCAAGCCATTTCCATTTAAATTCTGGGCACTTTTCGATATTGAATTTTCATGATTGCGACCGCGGCCAGATTGCATTTAATTTCCCGCTCTGGGTGGGATTCATTATATATTTTCCCTACACCGGGCGGGAAGAAGTCCCGCGGGTTCCAGGAACGGGTCCCCGGGGAAGAAGAGGGAATCGCGATCGATCGGGCGGGAAGAAACGATAATTGGCGGGGACAAAGAAGGAAGAAACAATAATTGCCATCGACGAGGAAGGAAGCTCCCCTCGGGAGGGGCCGAAGGCTGGATTTAATTGCGAGTCACTTGGCCGGAGCGAAGCTCCACTTTTCTCCTCGGCGCGGCCATTCCGCGGCGTTTTGGCACGCCCGAGTCCAATAAAAGTCCCGCAGCCCAATAGTGGCCCTCGGATAAGCGACCTCATCTGCCGAAGAATATTTTTATTCCAAGTATTTCGGAGCTTTCCGAGCCCCCGCGCATTTCGAGGCCGTCCAAAATGGCGGCGACGAGTTTTACGATTTTCCCATGTATTAAGAAATTTATTTACCAGCGGTGGTACATAATGAGGATTTTCCAATCGAGAGTCGCCAAAGGAAGCCGAGTAATGGCCTGGGAGGAAAAAAACCTCCCTTTAGGTCGGATCAAACGACGGGATTTAATCGAGCCCGACTCCGCCAAAGCTCCACTTCCCTCCCGTGCGCGGCCATTCCGCGGCGTTTTGGCACGGCCGACAAAAGTCCCGGAGTCGGAAAGTCGCGGGAAAATAAGCAGCCCCCCTCCGGTGTTTATTTTGAATATTTCGGTCCGCTTTCCGAGCTTTCGAGGCCGCGCGGGAGGAATCCCACGCGCGAGGAGAACGCAGATGAGTCCGCTGGACCAAGAGGAGAGGGACGCGTGGGCGTGAGGTTGGACGGCTATTTCAAAACGTTCCAGGCTATGATACTGCTGCTTTCGACGCGTCTCCATCTTCCGAGATTCCTTCATCTCTCGAAGACGTTAAAAAAAAAAAAACCTGGGTACCGAATTTTCGGGCGAAAAAATCGAGCCGAAATCCAGCTCTCCGGCATTCCGAGTCCAAAATGAGGAATTTCATCTTCGGGATTTTTTATTCCTTCATTTCCGCAGCTGAAATGATCCTCTAAATATTTAACGACCCTCGCCAACCCCTGGAAGAGGGTGTGGATTTTTTTAAAGTGGCGCCTCAAGGTCGGCTTCAGGTAATGAGGGGTCTCGAAAATTGGGGGTTGGAGTTCGCCTTGTGAGACGAAAGCTCACCCTGCTTCTTGGGAAGTCTATTATCTCCTTGAACCATTGTGCTCCTGGCCACTCGAGGAGAAGGACTCGCGACATTTCAGAGGCGGCCTCCTCCGGATCTCTTTCCATTCTCCCTAAAGTGTTGATAAGGTAACGTCTGCGGATGAAATCTCCGCCTTTGACGCTCCTCGAGGGTGCCATCAAAAAGTTGCAGATGCGAGCGACGAAGATGAGTTTCGGGACAAGGTCTAGAAATGATGGCCAGGTCGGGCAAGATGGACAATTTTCGACCTGGGGATCGATTCCTCAGTCGGAATGAAGAGTCCTCGCGAGGATCCGTTGATTGGCCCAGAACGAAACGAGGGAAACGAGGAAATCTCTCCGAGCGACAACGAGGGCCTCGGCCCGTGCAAAATGGAGCGGGCACCGGCTAATGGCGGTGGATGAGAAACAATGGGAAGTGGTATCGCAAAACAATGGATCAGCGGAAGCGGGGGAAGAAGAAAAAAAAATGAAGAGAAACCCGCGCATTGTCCGCCGAAGCGTCATTAACCCGCTGACGAGCAGTGGCCGGGAGCCCAGTTTCCCTAAAACGGATGCACCCACTACCGATCTCCCTTGCCGTCATCTCCATGACCTCATCATCCTCCGGACTCGAAGGATGAAAATCCCAGGACCGAGTTCTCGGTCTCGAGCTATTTTCGCGCTGGTTCCGTGGTCCCTGCGGTCTAGGAAATTTTTGGGGGATTTTTTTTTCCCTGGGAGAGTAGCGGTCGCGAGGAGCTCCGGATGCGGTCGGGTTGCATAATGGAAGGCTGGAAGGTAGAGGTAGATCTTGATCCTGTCCTGATCCCGTCGTCCAGGTCCTGGATGTCCTTCCAGTTACCGAAAGTCCAGGATTTGGTCGAGATGCGCTTTGTATTCCAAAAAGCTCCAGATCCAGCCCCGCGAACAAGGACCCGCGAATCGGGGAGGCTGCCCGAAAGAGCTTGTAGGAAGCTGGAGACAAATTCCGGAGCTTCCCTCGGGAACGTCCCGATCCATTATCGGCTCCCTGGTCTGTGGTCCATCTTGAGATTAAAGCACAGCGACGGGTCCGACCTCGGCTCCTCGAGGTCCATCCGAGGGAGCTCTCCACCGAGAGGAGCTTCGAAAGCCCGGAGCTTTCGACCTCTCTATCGGGTCCGATCGACTGGAGCTTTCGGCCCCAAATCACTCCCGATCGCTGATCGATTCGATTTTCTCGACAGGCTCGCAACAAGCCGGCGGATGGAGTGGGCCACGTCAACCAGAAGGGAGCTTCCGGTCAGAAAGCTCCCCTCGCCGGGGGCCAGAAATCGGCATCGGGCACCAAAGTCGCCGCCAAACCCGCCCAAAAGCCCACCGCCCAGAAGGGCCAGGTTAAGGCATCCTCCAAGACGGTCGTCAAGACCGGCAAGAACAAGAAGAAGGGCCAGAGGCAGCAGCACGACCTCATCGTGACGATCAACCTCGTAAGTTCCCATTTCCCGTCATTTTATAATTTCCGCCTTCAATTTCAGTGCAATCTAAGTCACGTACCCTCGCGACATACAATTATTCACATTCTGGATAGCTATTTTTTTTTTTTCGAATTTCTTTACGGGGTAGCTGCATATCTCCCTCCACTGCGAGTGATCGACATTTAATACACTATTAATTATAATATTCGGCGGGAGGAATTTTTAAACCTCTTGAAATGTCGTCCTGAGCTTGCGGAACGATGTGGTGGTTAAGTATGAAAATTTTTCGAAGCTTGGGATTTTTTTTAACGACCGCGCCCAAACTCCTTGTCGGAGGGCGAAAGCTCGGCCGGGGGAAATATCGGAGGAGAGTGGACGGCCAGTGTCACTCGATCGATCATCCGCCGATTATTCGTCAATTATTGAAATGGCCGAGTGCCGAGCCCGCGGCGGCGGGTTTCCACTTCCCGGTGCAGCTATCGATTCGGCCGACAATGTCAACAGACTTTGCCGCGAGAGGTGCACGCGTGGCTGCGACGGGAGAGGGTCGATAAGCGGCCGTTATCAGGGGAAAAGTAGCTCGTCGAAACGGAACGGCTCGTTCGTTATCGTCGAATTAAAGCAGGCCGACGAACTCCAGCTCGCCCTTATCACTCGATTACGATCGGCGATTCTCCCTCTCTTATCAGCTTGTTCCTATCGCGGCCCTTATCGGCACGTTAGGAAACGTCGATTAATTTCGAGGTTACGGCAGTCGGCTATCACGGAATTAAGGCAGAGTGACCGACCCTCTTCCTGGCAGGTATTATCACCAGGTTGCGAAGGGTTCTTATCACTTCATTCTCCCCGGAAGGCTCGAATCATCGAATTACCAAGGTTAACCTCGGCTTGACGGATTAGAGATTCAAGATCACAGTCCCGTCCACCTCTTTCGATGAAATCACATTTAAATCCTCGGCGATCACGCCGAAGTGCGCAACTGTCATTTGGCATTATTTTGGCACTTGGCAGCGCGGATTGCTCCACCAGAGCGGCGACTCCACCGGCGCGATCGAGTCGAGTCGCCTAAAAGTTAAAAACAGCCGAAGGTTAACCCGAACCCGGACACCTTTATTTCCTCGTGAGCATTCAAAGCACATTCCGTCGACGTGTCATGACGGACCCGGTCGCGAGTCGTCATCTTCCGAAATCTCCCGTCGCCGTCCGTCAATTCGGACCCCAAGGGCCGGAGGAGGTCTGCCAAAAAATCAGCGGTTAATTTTTGGCAGGTCATTGTCACCTCGGTCCACCGGCACAGTGGAAGTCGGAGGAAAGAGCCCGAATGCCAACCCAGTGTTCGTGGAAAGTGTCATCAAATTTCCTCCTGCGATCTCCCCGAAGTCGCTCGTAAAGCCCAGTGCAAGAGTAGTTGCAGTTGCAGTAGTTCCGCGATTTTGAGAATCCCCGACATGGCGCACTCGATGTGCACCGAGAAGAAGTACACGCACGAGTACGGGAGGCTGAGGAGACTCACCAGCACGATCGACGGTCAAATTCGACAAATAAGTGTAAGTCGAGAGTTGTGAAAATTCGATCGGTCGATTTTCACGGATTTTCCAGAACTTCCGAAGTTTCGCTTCCCACTTCTCCTCTTTCTGCCGAGTAGTTGGCACTTCCTCTTGCGCCACTTATCGGCTTATTGTCTCCCGGCACATTTCCACGGGTCGGAAAGGGTCGGAAAGGGTCGAAAGGGTCGAAATCAGGAAAAAGCTCGACTGCAGACCCGCCACCCGCGAAACCGCGTCGCGTCTCGCGAGTTGATAACGGAGCATCTCCGTCGCGAGACGAGCTTAAAAGCGCACGACCCACTTTCCATCTCGACCTTGCTTCGAAATATCTGGCCGAAAGCTCTCGCATCCGAGAAAACTTGGCGCCGAGCGGAAGGGATTTCGTCCCCGCTTCCTCCACCCAGGAGGGCTCTTATCATTGCCGCCATTCTTCCAGATTTCATCGAATAACGATCGGCCCGCGCGGGTAGCGATTTTTATTTCGAGAGCTTGCGGTCTCCCCGGCAGCACCCGGCGTAAGAAAAAGATATACGAAGCTGAAAACTTTTCCGGAGATTTACGACCGGTGGGGACGTACCGTCGGAGGAAGTCGGAAGCGTCCCCCAGGAAGAGAATTCCTGCTTTATTTTTCTACGACCGATCGAGGCGGGTCGCCGTCGATTGCGACGACGCATTTCGGCGGAATTTCACGAGAGATATTTCCCCTTAATTTTCTAAATCCCGGCCGAAGCTGGAGCGTGGTAACGAGCCAATTATGTCGGAAGGCGACGACGCGATCGCCGTGGTCGGGAATTATTAATAATCCGGGAAGTGACCTCTCCTGGTGCGACGCCGGAGGAACCCAGCAATAGGCCGGTGGTCCCCCGGGTGTCCAGACCGAAGTAACGACTCCAAAGTGTCGCCAAATCCCACGTCTCGCCCTATGAGGTGTCTCCTCGTCGCCCAAACCAAAGCTGCCCCCCATGGCGCACCAGAAGAGGTATTCCCACGAGTACCGCAAGCTCCGGATGCTGACCAACCAGATCGACGTCCAGATCAGGCAGCTTTCCGTGAGTAAGCACCTCCCAGGCAGTCATTTCGGGGTCGAAATGAAATATTACCCTCCTGGAAGGCGTAATTCAGGGGAAATTCTATCCCCCAGGTCCTACCGAACCCGCAGTTTCTAAAATATCTCCTAAAATGGGGTCCAGCAGCAGACGTAGGTCGCAGGGTGACGTTGCACCGGGGTCCCCTGATATCATTTTGAAGATTACGTTCGACTATTCAGATAAGAGGCTAAGGACACTTTTTCTCGACATCTCACGAGATTCATCTTTGTCTGTTCCAGTCTGAGTACGGGCTGACGGAGGACCAGGTCGCGGGTAAGTGTCAACTGCAAGAGTCGGCCTATCGCAAGAGGCGCCACTCGTCCCCAAATGAGCGACCCAGTCTCTCGTCGCAAATCGAAAACCGATAGACAGCTTTGGGAGGATTCTCGTGAAATATAAAATTCTATACGCCCCGGTTTTGGTGGTCGATTGTCCGGACGGCTCCTGGGGAAGTCTTCGTTTTTCGCATTCGGGCTAAGAGCCCGTGGGTTTCCGTCATAGCGACTTTCCGATGGAGCCGGCGTCGCCATTGGCGGGTTCCCAAGGGCCGATTACCGGGGCAAGAGCCGCCGATAAGAGATAAGAGTCACTTTCCTCGCCCCCGGGGAGCCCCCCAATTTTCGCGGAAATTTTCCTCCCCATTATCGCCCTCTAGTCGCGACTTCGCCTCTCGACGGAGCTTCCACGAAGTCCTTTGACTCGACGGAACCGCTCCGGGCGCGAAATGTGGAGTGCTAAATATCGCCCAGGGATCGCCGGAAAAAAAAAGAGAGGGAAAATTCGGCGTCGAGCGTCCTGACACTTGTTTAGATGAAATATGACGGCGGGAAATTTGGCAAGGGGGTCAGAAAGTGGAATTGCGTGTACTTGGCGCGGGACGCAACCGAAACTCGTTACCGCGGGACGATGGCGTAACGAGTCCTCCCAGCTCCCTCTGCGTGGAATCCCCTCTCGACAATCGTTCCCGAAAAAATCCCGCAGGAGGGTTCCCCCTCGAAAATCCAAACCCGAAGCCTCCCCGCAGCCCTCGAAAAAGCGAATCCACCCTGCGAATTCCGAAATTCCGCGGCGGTCCTCCCGGCATTCCGAGGATTTCCCGGGGATTTCGTCAAATTTTCCCGACCCGAAAACGCGGCCGGCGCATATCTCGCATTCAGTTGCATCTCTCGCGGCATGCAGGCCGCACGTGCATTTACATTCGTAAATATGTAGAGCGCGCCGACCAGGTCGAGCTCGTATTTCGTTGATAGCGCTTAACTCCTCTCCTAGCCCTAAGAGTGCGATCCGATTTCGACGGGGTTCCATCCGGAGGAGTTACGAGAATAATCGAAGCACAGGTGGAAACCGCATCACCGGGGGGAATAATTTTCGCCGTCCCGATGATCGAATTTCCCTCGAGCGCTTTTTCCCCGGGGACCCGATTGACTCGTTATGCCGTCGAATCGACGACGCCCGATCCATCGGGAGATCGATTCCCTTGGGTGCGGCCCCGTGTGCAATTAATTGCATATCAAACGATGTCGCGTGCTGCCTTTCGCCTGCATATGTATGAGTCCTGCGAGGGGATATCCTTGCCCGAAGGAACGAATCCCCGGAACCGGGGGGTGGGTTGACGTATCGAGGTCCCTTTTTCGTTTCGCCATTCCGATGGCACCTGACACGCGATTCCCGTCCCCAGGTCGATCTCCCCAGATCTAGGACTTCCGGATGCCGGGCAGCATGTGCATTAGTTACATTAATCTCGAACGCGACCTAAGACTGCCCGACTTCCACCTCTTCCCCCATTAGACACGCACTGATCGCATTAATTACCACTAGCGCGTGCATTAATTACATCAATCTAGTAGGCGAATAGAGAGGGAGACTTTCATGCCGGAGGCCACCCAGGGAATCCCAGGTGCATTTGCATTAATTACATCGACCTCGAATGCGAGAATCTAAGACCGAGCATGCGGCCGGAGACGCCACGCGTTATGTCGCCCCCAGCAATAAATAATTCAAAGTGAGGTGGAATATCAATATCGAGGCATGAATTATGCAGACGCGAGAATCCTGGCCACTCAATCGAGAAAACTAAAAGCGAGATCGCAGTCGTCCCTTGCCTCTACGTCGACGTTGTCATTTTCTACCCTCTCTATTTCTGTTTCTTTTTTTCTTTTTTAATAATTTCGATTTTTTCCCATGCTCAACGATGCAGAATTCAAGGAGGCCTTCATGTTGTTCGACAAGGACGAGGACGGGACGATCACAATGGCGGAGCTGGGCGTCGTCATGCGATCTCTCGGCCAGAGACCAACGGGTAGGTCGATTATTAATAAGCGAAATATTAAAAAAAAAAAAATTAGGGGGAACCGCGAAAACGTCAAATCGAAATTTTCCTTTCCAGAGACGGAGCTGCGCGACATGGTGAAGGAGGTGGACCAGGACGGGAACGGAACCATCGAATTTAACGAATTTCTGCAGATGATGTCGAAGAAGATGAAGGGGGCCGATGGCGAGGACGAGCTGCGCGAGGCGTTCCGGTAAAAGATCGGCATTAATTATTAATTAATCGTCAAGTAGCACGAAAAGTCTCCCGCTAAAGCCGTACGGCCATAAATTTAGAGTGCAACCGGCGCGTTTCCACATATATCCGTGACTGACAGAGACTATGAATAGAGAAAGAGAGAGCGCGTCGAGAACGGAGCCCGTCTCTGGTTTCCGGCCGGAGAGCAGCTTCGGTTGAAATGAAATTAAACGTGAAATTGGTCGGCAGAGTCTTCGACAAGAACAACGACGGTCTGATCTCCTCGATGGAGCTGCGGCACGTGATGACGAATCTGGGGGAGAAGCTGTCCGAGGAGGAGGTCGACGACATGATCAAAGAGGCGGACCTAGACGGGGACGGAATGGTCAACTACGAAGGTAGGTCGTCCATACTTCTTAATTGATTTTCCTTATCTTTCACCTAGCGTTATCGGTGAATTTTGGGCAGAATTTGAAAACAAAATAAAAATATCCCATCTGTCCCAGAATTCGTGACAATCCTGACGTCGAAGAATTAGTCGGTGGCCGAGGATATCCGGATATTGGAAAAGACTACGGTGCACTTCGGTGAGTCCGCGAACCTCGTCGAAGCGATCGAGCCGAGTCGGTGAAGTTCCTCTGGAGAGGCCAACGGAAGCGACCAATGGGCGCGCCGGGACGCTCGGCCCAGCGGAAAGTGGGAGTCCCCGAGGAAGAGGGGCGAGGAAAGCTCCGAGGTATATTTTTGACTAGTACAAAAGGTCGCGAGGGTACTCCGGAAAGAACGGGGAAAATTCGAGGGAGAGAGAGATGGGGTTGAACGGGAAGGACAAGGGGAGATAAGGAGGGATAAGGAAGACAAGGAATGACAAGGAACGACAAGGGGCGCTTTACTCGCGCGAGGACTATTCGCAAGCTCGCCGGGCGGGACTGTACTTATTTTTCGAATTAATTTGTAAGTTTAGTCGTCTAAGAACAAGGTTGCTCCTAAAACAATCAACTGAGCTTCGGTTAGCGTATGTATCTACCTATACTATACTATATCTATGCTAAACATATACATGTACTACGTGCATATGCGCCTACACATATGTATACATATTAATATCGTTGCGATTACATTGATTCACTTTCGGGCAACGCCGAACCGTTGACGTGTTAAGTGTTTAGTGTGTAAACCAAACAAAAAAAGAAAAAAAGAGTCGGTGAAATCGGGCAAAGCGGCCATTGCGACGTTAACTTCCTCGCTCTTACGACTTTCTTTTTTTTTCTCTCGACATTTCGCGGATTCTTCTACGTTCCTTCCCATCGCGCGGATATAAATCAGAGGCCCCATGGAAACCTCGGAATTTTTCGCCGCGTCTTAACCTCAAATTCGCGTTCTCCCCACCTCGCAAAAAAAATTCACATTTCGGCCTCCTGGCCAAAAAAACTCGCGAATCCCTCATGGCAGGACAGGCCCACCCCATAGACCCCCATAGTGGTCGCGCGAGATTAACCGTAGCCGTGTAGCCGCGTAGCGGAGATGAAGATAACTAGAAAAACTGGAGGAGAGAAAATTCGAAAAAAAAGCTAGTCCGCTCGCGGAGAGACTCGCGGTAAAAAGTATGTGCATTGTATCACGCATTACGCAGTGTCGCGTGAGCCCATTATCGGTAAACAGTTGCTTAGTGCATCTAGAATAAATGTTGAAAGCACGAGGTGGCGACGCGACGATCGCGCGTTTTCTATGTCGGAATCAATGGCGGAGTGATCGCCCGTTACCGCACCGCGTAATTGTCGATTCGATTGTCCATCTATTTTCGTTGCCAAATTTCCGTAGGATTATTCCTTACGGAAATCTGGACTTTACATAGCAGACAATAAAATCTTACGTTTCGCGCGCTCAACGCCCACCGGTCTGGCGCAAGATGGCGTCAAAGATGTTTTCGCGCAATTGTTCTATGTTAGTTCAGGGAACAATTGTCCAGACCAGGGTGGAACGGCGGGTCTTTAGTTAGTCCTTTGTTGAATCTTGCGTGCTGGATGACTGATGATGCGAAATGGCGGCGCGGTCGGCCATTAAAGGGTTAACTTTGGTGCAGGAGAATCCACCACGAGGAGTCGGAACGGACCGGGAAATGGGGATTCGTCGGACAAGGATGCTCGAAAATGTCTTTTGACTCGATTTCGCATCATTGGGCAATAAATGGCCCCCGGGCCCGCCACCGTACAAGAAAGGCAAGACGCTTCGACAGGGAAAACATAAGCACACGTTAAACAAACTCACCACAGTAATGTATAACGTCCCGATGACAATATCTCATATTAACGGTTCAAACTAAAAACAAATCTATCCAATGAATTTTACCTCGATGGCCTAGGTTCAACCATTTGCGTCCAAGGGAAATCGATGGGGAGACACGTTCATGGGAAAAATCGAGTCGAGGAACTCGAAAGGACGCTCGGAAAAATCGAGTTCACTCGGAAGTCGCTCCGACTCGATTTTTGGCCCGTTGAAATTCGAAAACGGAAGGCAGCCCTTCTAGCCTCCGGAAAAGGTCCTAAAACGGCTAAAAATGGCGACCTGATATCGAAGAAGAGTCGAAACCTCGCCAGCATCGGCCTCGATCTGTCATTGTTCCTAGAGATAGGAAGCTTCGTTATTTCTTTCACGAAAAAGGGGTGAAAAGTGTCGCCGGGGAAGTTTCGTATCAAAATTCGAATCCCAGGGCCCCCAGGAATTTTTCATAATTTTCCCCCATCACCCTGCGTGGTTTCTGTCCCTTTCTTTCAATCAATTTTCACGGTGTTATGTATTAAGAAATTAATATTCTCGTAGATGTGTTCTCCCTTTTCCGGGGATCTGGCCCCCTACCCTCGAACAGAGTCGACCAAAGTCTTCCGTTTCTTCCGAAATTCCTTCGCAAAGATCAAATTCGAGTTGGCGGACATTCGTCGACTTCGGAAAAGAGGAATTCCAAAATTCAATTGCTTCGCGTGAATCCTCCCCCGTTATCGATCTCCGTTTATCACGGTTTTACCGAGGGATGCTGTGCAAAGGAAACAATCTAGTCGGTAAAACAAATCGTTGAGGACCCTGCAGGACTCCCCAGGAAAAGAGAAAAAATTCGAAAATATGAATTTTCGAATTCATTCCCGAGGGAGTCGACTCGACTCCTGGATTTCCCGGGGACCCTGAAGAGGGTCTCTCTGTACAAGATGAATCAAACAATACGTATACCTATGTATATCGATATTCGCGAGGCGGCCTGGACAATTTATAGATGGAGTAATTATAACCCTTACTGAATGTAAGGGGGAGGGGGTCGAAAAAAATTCCCCAAAAATTCCTGTCGGTCTTCTCTTCGCCCCAAGGTTCAGCCAGAATTAGGGGGAAACCATGTAACGTTCGCAACCCCGGACCAGGCTCGAGATGTTATAAAAAGTTAAGGGAAGCGTGGTTCAATAGAAAGGAACGAAAGAAAAAAAAAATGGTAATAATTGTTAGACGTTAATTGTCAGTCGACTTAAGGCTCTGTCGTGACTTCGGTGTTAATTGGGGGGAGTTTAGGGGTAATCGCGACTGGCAGTTTGAGACATACGCGAAAGGGGTGAGTACATTGCACCCCCGCAAGAAGCTCAGCCCTCTCGGCGGTCTTTTCACAATTTATTTCCCCTAGGTTCGAAACCTAATTATTTGCGATTTTCCACGGAGGTTCCTACGTTCGTTGTCTGCGTAAGCGATGAGAAACTAATTGTTAACGCGATTCGACGTTCGGGCAAAGTGGTTTTCGGACTGTCCAACTTTTCGCATCGAGTGCGAGTCAAAGGCGAGATCAAGGCGAAATGCTTGCACAAAGTACAAAACCAAGCGAGAAAGTTTCCGCGGTCCGAAAAGTGCTTTTCGGAAATAAATGGCCGTCCAAGGAGCGGGATGATTGTTTAACAAAATGCATCCTCCCTCTCGACGGCCGTTTCTTTCGCGAGTCGTCGAACGATTAGGGATGAAATAATAACCGGAAGTCATACGATCTAAATAATCGCACGGTAATACTAATAATAGAAAAAAAAAAAAATATATATGAAATGTCTTTCAATATTTTATCGAAGGGAACGTGAGAGTACAAGAAACGAGGTGCACTTTGCCGTGTTGCGTCGCGTACGAGAATGACACTTAACGGCGGAATAATTTCCACAATGATTTCCAGTTAAAAGGAGCCATACAAAAGGCAAGAAAAGGAAAGGAGATAATTCACTAATATATTAATTTAATTATACGTTGAATTCATTTCTGTCGCACAATCGCAACAATGGCAAAATGTCAATAATGGCTCTAAACCCAGAGGGAAGTAGAGAGGGTGCATCCTAAAAGACAAAGCGAGATATGCGTCGAGATATATATATATATGAAGAAAAAGAAATGTATGTATATGATATGTATATGAAATGTATTCTAGAGTATCGTTAACTGCGAGCAGGAAAACCGGAAGACTAAAGCGACGGTGCGAATACGAGATATATTTATATTTTTACTTGGGAAAGTTGTAATAACATTTCTAAGGACGGCTCCCCCCGTTCCCCCGAGCGAGCGAGACGAACGGGGTGTTAGTGGCGTTATTTTTCTAGGGCGTGGATTTATTATAAATTATAACTTATAAATTATAAATTCCGTTACACGACGAGACGTGCTCGCGCGAGACCCCGCGAAGCTGATGCGCATGTTCTTGGCGCGAGACGCGATTGTTCGGAGGAAAAAGGAAAGAAAGAAAAAAAAGACGTGAGATATCTAGAAAAGTAACAAAAGGAAGAAAAGAGGAAAGAAAAAAGAAGGGAAAGGAATAGCCCAAGAAGGGACGATCGCGAGCGCACGCATTCTTCCCACTCCCGATTAATCCGCTTAATCGATGTCACCCACCGAACCCAGGCGATTAATTAATTAATTAATGATTTCCCCTTGATTGGCGAGATCTTCGACTACTCCGCCCTCGGAGACCGCGAGGTTCCCTCATCATCCCCCGGGAGACACCGCGGGATGGAATCTTCGCGTTTCGTCGTAAAGAAAGGAGAAAGAAAATAAATAAATAAATAAATAAAAAATAATCATAAATAATAATCGGACACTTTTCGGATTTTCGGAGAAGGTCGGGAGGCGAGACGGAGAGACGGAGTGTGCGTGAGCCGGAGAGAGCGCGAAAGAAAGTGCCGTGTGCGTGAGGTTTACGTGTATGTAAATGGTGTTACGTGTAAAGCCGTACGTCTTTTATGGTAAGCTTAAAGGAACGATCGACTAAACGAGGGCGATCAGGTGTAACGATGGAATGTATTACATGTACCGAGTTATCTCTAAATACAGCCATTTTATAATGGAAACGCGTTTTGTATACAGACCCCCCCTCCTACCCCCCTGGAGATCCCTGAAAAGAGAAGCGAGGGCCTCCGCACGTACGTACATCCTTGACTTAGAAAGTGTTTATTAACGTTAAAATTAATACCGTCATCCGTACAATGTGTCACACGGGCAGCGTCTCTATACGCTAATCGCGGATTTCCTTAGAGCCTATTTCGAATCACACAAGCCGATGGAATGGTTTCTCGAGAGAGAGAGAGAAATTAAAAAAAGCGCTGTCACAATCCCCAAAACCAAATTGGAAAAAAAGAAACGATAACGGCCAAGTCACCCAAAACCAATCGATGAAGAGTCTGATTACAACCTCTCTTTATTATCTCGTAGACCGAGCAGATTTTCTACGCACCTACGGCTTCGCTGAAGTCACCCTTACGAAGGAAACTCACCGGTGAAATCTTTTGAAAATCCATTGATTAATCTCGCGGTTGTATGTACAGTCATCTAATCACACACGGGAAGGAAATCTCAGAAGCGTCGATTTCACTCGGGCAAAAATCTCAGGGGCTCTGACAAGTCTACGGTTAAATTCAAACGGCGCGTTAAACGGCGGAAAATCGCTCGGCGAAGACCGAGGCATTGTCAAAGTTATGGGAGAGAAAAAAAAAGTATCCCAGTACATATCATAGCGTTCCCTTCGTCAGATCGTTTGATCGAGAGGTCCTGCGAAGACAAAGATGGCGGACCTCGTCGGCGACTTTTGTCGTGCACTTCAAACCTGCACAGGATTAAATCCTGCCTCGAAGTCGCGTCCGAATGCACAATCCGACAGCAGACCCGTTTTCACATTTCCTCCGTATTTTTCGCTTTTTTCTTCTTTTTTTTCTAGTTAATTCGGATCCTCTATTCCTTCCACCATTTCGGTAACTTACGCGTTACGTTGTGTATGCACGGACGTATAAAATCTATCTCACAGTGGTTTATCCTAAGAGCCGGGTTCCAGGCTCGCGTTTAGATCGCAACGTGTAAGTCGCCCTGGAATCTCGATTACTAAGGTAATACGAAACGAGAGGAGAACGCAAAGAGAGAGGGCGCGAGCTAGGTCGACGCGGCTTCCCGGAGCCTGGGAGCGGTTCCTGCAGGATCCCTTGGGAAGATGGTCGGAAAAAGTGTCCTCGGCTTCCACGGTTTGAAGGTCCACTTCGTAGTCGAGTTACCAGTCACGGCTGGAACGGTACTCCATCCGGGTCCCTTCGTTCCCTAAAGTCCTGACGACTCCGAGAGACGTTCTCCCCTCGCGACCGATCCTCCGATCGTCTCTTCCGCCTCCTCTCTTCTCCCGTCGAGGCCACGACATCCAACCGCACCGTTTAGAGTTCGTCCCTGAGCAAGGTGTACCGGTTTTTACTTGGGGCGAGTTTCTTGAAGGTGGACTCCGGAGGGGTCGTCGGGGTCTTGACTTGTCCCGTGACCTGGGAGTCGTCGCTGCTGCTCGGGTCGGGCCCGTTGTGGAACTCTCGGTGAAGCTTCCCCGAATATAGGTCCTCCAGGAAAGCTTTCAGCTTACCGGGGACGAAGATGTCCTGGAAGTCCGGGAACAGGTACATGTGGCGGAAACTGTCGATCGCTATCAGCGGCAGGTCCGACGTGCTCTTCCCAAGGTGGTGCAACGGGTGCGCGAATTTCACGCCGTCGGCGGTCAGGAAGTTCACGTTTTCTGGAAATGTTATAGAAACTCTGTGTACACCTCGATCTACGTGTGGAGTCTAGGAAGGGCTAGCGGTCCTCTTGGGAAATTGATCCGGAAGCTGCGATCAACGTGGCCAATCGGGATTGCAGGAAGAGGCGGTATTGGAATTTATTTTATTCTGCTCACGGTTTATCTTAGGGTGAATCTTAAGCCGGCAGGTTTTGGAACTCGGGAGGGATTTAATCTCGGTATAAACTCACGTTTGTGAACGATCAGCGTGTTCGAGATAATGTCTTTGTACGCCTTCACGCTCTCGAGGTCGTCGGGCGCGTGGAAGAGAATGAGGAACGGAAGACCCTCTTCCGTTAGCTCTTCGGCGTTCTCGAAGGTAATTTCCCTGACCAAAGGCACACACTTCTCCTGCGCCCATATATTTAATTCGTCGTATTCCTGCAGACGCCCCTTGAAGGTCTCGTCTTCGTCATTCGACAACGCTTTGTCCGACCGGAAGGCGACAATGGGCTGACCCGGAGGATGCATGGCTTTGCTTGCATCCCTAGAACAGCGTGGAACAAAACTTTCTCTCCAATTCTCTTTTTCTCTCTTCGCTGTCACTGAACGACAAACTTCGAGGTTTAATCGTAGAGACTGCATCGTTTCGAATTCGGCAAAGCAAATTAAAACAGAAAAATTATTCCATGCCATGCAGCAGGAACTTAAAGTCGTTGCATTCTCGATAGAGAAATTCGCTTGTGCTAGGTGTCCAAAAAAGTATGTTCACGTAGGCATATATTTGTTCACCTGGAAGCTGCGCAGGTGTGCTAACATATAGAGCTATGTCAGGTTTTACTTACAGCAAATGAAAGTGCTGTCCAACCTCACAGTTTTGACTCGAGCATGTGCTTGTTCAATAAAATGAACAATATTATAATATTATCTCATAAAATTCTATAGAGAATAGTTGTCTAGTAAAGCACTGTTGCGTAATGATCGTGGACGTACATTTTAAATAGTCTTAATCGGTACCAGGTCGTTAATGTTTAAATCGATTCGGTTGGTAAATAAAATATCAAATAACATTTGACACGAGAAGTAGGATTTACGTTACCCAAATCCGACATGGAATTGACAGTCGTCCTTGAGATTTGTGGCCACCCTCCGGAACACTTGATACTCAGGGATGTCTTTTCTCTCGAAGTAGCCGATGATCATTCTCTTCTTGTCGTCTAGGTTGTTTAAATCCTTCATATCGTGGAACTCCTTAATGGGGTCTTCCAGTTGCCTTTTTACGTACTCTACGAAGGCATCTACCGAACGCTGGCCTCTGTACTCCCGTTTAGTTGTCTGACCGTTCATTATCACTTTCAGGGTTGGATATTTTGTAATGTGAAACCGGGAAGCTAAGTACGCTGAACAAAAAAATACATTCCTATTGGTAACTAAGTTTCTAACCCATGGACATTAAAAAAAAAATTGAAAGATCCTTACACTCCGTGTCGCAGTCCACTTTGCCCATAACCACCAACCCTGGTTCAGGGAACGCTTCCCGGACCTTGTCCGCGGCTTCGTCAAAGATAGGCGCTAGCAAATTACTGAACCGGCACCATTCCGCATAGAAATTAATCATAACTAATTCATTTGATACTGCAACATAAAATTAAACATCCTGCCATAACTCGCAGCTCATGGAAATCGAGTATCCGTTGCTCGAGAGCAAGTACCACGAGACAAAAACCAATATTTTAAATCTTGCGCAGAGTAACTGCAATTTACCTAATGTTGTAGAAATATTATCTTGCGTGAGCGGCGTGGCACCTCCATTGACATAACTATACGGCAAAAATACCTGCAAGAAATTAAGAAAATACGTGACGACTAATCCAAGGTAGTCACGATTACAGGTTATAGTAACGACGCCTTGTAGGTTAGATCCCTACCGGATGCGCGTGTCTTAAAAACGAGAGCACAAGAGATCCTGGACACTTTTATGGTCGAAAAGGCGAGGAAGAACCGAATCTTTTTAAATTTGGGGATCCACAAAAACGAGTTGCCGAGACCGCGTGACAATCACAAGCCCGACCGCACAAGGGCGAAAAATCGGAAGATCACCAACCAACTCACCGATAAGTAGACGAAAGTAACTAGCTTCGCATCGGAGACATCACGGAAGGCCAGCATCTTGCGAGCCTCGATTCAAATCATATAAAAGTTATTTTAAAGCGAACATCAGTGAACAGGTAACGGCACGTCAACTGCCATAAACGATGGCGAGAAAACGACGTCACGACCAGAGATGAGTTGGGAGATAGCTCACAAGCTGAGTCGCGCGATCGCGTTCTGTGCTGCCCTCGGTGGAGAATGCGGGCAACTCTGGGCAAAAACTCCAAACCCTGCTCCGAAAATCCCCTCCCAATCGGGAAGGTTGTTCTGCTTAAATTGATCTCTCGAGCTAGTGGCTGCGATTTTTTTCGGAGGAGATACAGGGTTTTGGAGTTTTTGTGAGTTCTTCACTTTTTCAGCCGGTTCTCCGGCTGCCCAGAGTTGTAACAGGTGGCAATTGCATTAGTCGTCTGCATCCTCCACCGGAGGTCGTAGAGGACGCGGTCGCTCGATCCTTCCCGTGAATCCCTCAACTCATCTCTGTAATACATACATACAATACGATTCAGGGTTCAAGAAACAAGTAGGCGGGTCGGTCAATCTTCAAAATAATTTATTAAAAATGTTGCATACTTGATATTCGAATCGTTAATCGGTAACGGTATAATCGTAGTAACTATGCGTGTCGTGTGAGCATTGTCCGGTGATCATTGAATGTACACTTGGCGGTGAGTATAATAACTTGTTCGCTCCGCCCTCGAGGGACGTTAACAGTGGTGGAGGTCGTGAGCCGTCCCGCTTCCCGGCCGCCATTTCGTGCAAGCGATGCCGTGACAAAATGGCGGTCGCCATTTTGTAAATGTGACGGCGTAACAAAATGGTGGCCAGGACGCCGGTAAACCTCTCCGGGCCTCGATGTGCGCGTTTTGCCGTAGCATGTGGTGTGTAGTGTATGTATATCTTATAGTTATCGAGTTTAGAGGTGTGCGTGTGCCAGTGTCTTATTGTCAGTTTCTCCTGACTTGGCGCTCCCGATTCGGCCTCCTGGAGCGTCTCTCGCCGGTCGCTTCCCGCCGTCGAGAGGTCCTCGAAAATGGCGAAGGATCCCGAGGGCGACGACGAAGACGTCGGATACTCCGGATCGCCGAATCGCCGCTCAACATCGAAACCAAAACGACGCCTCTTCGTGGCCGAGGAGACGAGAGAGCGTCTCTTCTCCTCTCCTCGCTCTTCGCTACGAAACCCGAGTTGCCTAGGAAAATATTGCGAAGCGACGTTGGCGGGCGTTCCGCCGCGGAACGGCCGCCTGGCAGTCTTGTGGAGCTCAGGATCCACCGTAGCTACGTCCGGTAGAACTACGCGCGAGTCAGTCCGTGAATTCTGAGCTCCGTATAAGTTAAATCAGGTGCTGTGGTGGAGAAACGAAGGTGCGGAAAAAAATTCGTCCCGGCTGGTGTGTGTGTGTGTATATCGTAACTTGTGCAATGGAGACAGGGCGGAGTAAGTCGACGTCGTCGAAGGACGAAAACGGGAAGGAAGGGAAATCTGTGGGGCCGGATTGAGACCCTGCGGGGTTGTAAAAAGGAAATGACATTTTTTTTTTCTGTCCTGCACCGTTGCATCGCTAGAAATCCTCGTCGTCTCGGTTTCACTCCGGCTTCGACGTTCTCGCTACGTGCGAGGAACGCGTTTAGTACTGTATCGGTATTATAATGCGGTTTTGTCTCGACCCGCTTGAGTTTTCTATTAAAAATTCGATATCTACGCTGCTATGCCAGTTTCAAGATCTGGCCCTTCGCGATAAGGCTTCGCGAAGGGCTGACTTCCTCCAGGGGGAGATGACGCCGAAAATTCCGAACTGGGGAATTCCCCGCTCTTGGCGCCGCCTTGGGATTCCCCGTATACGTGCACATAGTTCCAGGGACTTCGGAATTCCGAGTCTCTGGCGCCGAGGGGAATGGAACGAACCGAAAATACTAGGAAAGGGTCCTTAAACTTGCAGATATGGTTTTACGTCGTATCGATTAACGCGCTAATTCGTCTACGCTAGTCGCACTCGTAACTGGCTTACGCAGCGCCGTCTAGGATTCGCGATTAACGCGGAATCCCCTTTTCCCCGGAGACGCGACTTCGCGTTATGCCGATTTTCGGCACGAAAACCGCGGAATTCGCAAAAATCCCGGAAATTGCGGGAGGGAGGTCCACCTCGAGGCGCTGATCGCGGGGAAGTCCCGGGATGTCGTTCGGTCGGACTCGAAAACTACCTAGGAAGAAATTACTACAATTTCTAGCCAAGCAAGGGGGGCGATTTTGGTCCCGATGGTAGTGACGGTGACGAGGAATCACGAGGAAGCACGGAAAGGATCCGTCAGGGTTTTGCAAAGAAGCCGGGATTCCCCTTATACGAAACGAAAAGTGAAGTCTCCTTCCAGTTAAAAAACCGACCCGGTTACAAAATCCTAGAAAATGTAATCAACGATTGTCTTGAAGTCCCTAGATCCTCGGGTTATCCAATATTTCCGTCGCGGTCGCGTTGCGGACTCTATTTGAAATCCTTGATAACGTACAACGAGGTGGCAGTGCTTCCGGCCAGCCGTAATGTGTCCAAGTACATCTTCAGAAGTCTACGCACTCCCAAACTCATGCGGCGAAAAAATAAAGAACGACATCCCTAAAACCTGGTGCCGAAGAGCGAGGATCGTTTCTGGGGATCTTTCCCGGGGATCTCCCTAAGTTCATCTCGGCGCCCCGAGCGTTCCTCGTTCCGAATCTTCCGGATTTTCTCGTCCCTCCATCACGGGTCACCATCCCCTCGAAAATCGATGGGCCCCAGGATATAACCCATCTCCGAAGGAATTCCCCGAAGGGTAACGATCTTCCAACAGGGGGGCGAGCGCCCCCCGCCCCCAGATTACAAATAGAGTATTAAGTGTATGTACAAGTATGAACAATAGGGTCGCCGCCGCGGCCGGGTCGTCGTGCCCGGGAACACTGCGGGGCGGCGCCCGGGTCCGGCGTAACAATTCGGAGCGCAGCTCCTAGGAGAAAACGGCGTCATATATCACATAATTTTTCAGGCTACGTCCGCTAAAAAGTGTCCCCCCGCTCGCGTGCGGGTAACCGCGTCTAGGTATCTGGCCTCTCTCTCCCTCTCTCTTAGTCCGTCTCATCCTAAACGTCGGTAAACTTGGTCGGTGTCCCCTGCGAATCTCTCCCTGGGTACCTCGGGTATTCCCTGGGAAGGAGAGACGCTGACCGGAGGAAAAGCTCGTCCGGCAAGGGGTCGGTTCCGTGGTACGTCGAGGAGGTGGCCCAGGGTGCGTCCCTTCCTCCAGGCTCAGCCCGGCAGGAACCGGGCGATCCAGGACGACAGTGGTCACACGGTGGTGACGCGGTCCACCTCGACATATCGCACGGAGCTGTCGCTCTGTCAGCAAATCACCTCCTTGCCGTCGAGGATTGCCGTCTCGGAGGAGGCGCTCTTGAGCCGGTGCTGGGAGATGGACCTGGTGGCACGGCGCCCGCGGACGCGCCACCAGGCCAGGCAGACCGGAACCCCGATCACGGCTAGAATCCCTAGGGCGATAAGGCCCAAGTGTAGGGGTGGCAGCCGGAGGAGGATCGAGCAGTGGGCGAAGGCCTCGTCGTAGCCCGAGGGGCAGTGGGAGGTGCCGTCGCACCAAAGGGAGGCGTTGATGCACGCGTCCAATTCTGGGCAGCGCTGCTCACAGTCGCGGGTCAACATCTGCAGGCCAGCTGCAGCGGAAGTCGCCTGGGCGGGCCTGAAAAGGAATGGTCGAGGTTAGAGATGGATTCGACCTCTTTGGTGCCTCCAACTTGAACTACGCGTACCTTCTAGTCAGCTCGAGCCAGGTGATGGAGTAGGAGTCGGGCTCCTTGGCGATCAGCTCCACGGCTACCGTCCTGGCGGGGTCGTCACCTGGAGCCAGGACCGTCGCGTCGCTACCCAAGGCCCAACCGTCGCTGAACACCTCCACAATGTGGTGCCGCAAGTCTGCTGGTGGCTTTGGACACACGGCCACGTGGATCCGACCACCAGTGTGCACGACGACTCGGTTGGATGTGGAACATTCGGTGCCGTTATTGGCGATGGTGCCACCCATCTTCACGTAGAGGTAGTGCCCAGGACCGGGGTCTATCAGCCAGGGATTGCGCTCGCAGGTTTTCTGGAAACCGAACCATTTCGTTAGACCGGTGATCCATTGTGCTAGGGGATTCAATTTATGGTGTATCGTTACCTCATCTCGGTCCAACGGTGGGAACCTCAACTTTATCTCCCCGGAGGGTCCCCGTACTCTGCGCTTCTGGACGCAGGGCACCGCCTTGATGAACTCCCAGATTCCCTCGAAGTACAAACTCTCGTAGTCGTCTAGCGAGTTCATCGCCCTCACCGTGAAGTGCACCTCCACGATGTTTGAGGTCGACTTCACGTTGATCGGCAGAGACCTGTTGGAACACAGGCAGTCACGCTGGACCGGTGGGGCGTCGTTCCAGGGCACGTCTAGGACCTGCACACAAGATTCCCATTGACATAGGTTTTGACCGTGGTTTTGGAATGAAGAGGACAGTTTCCCAGTCGTCTCTAATTTTTTGGGGGGATTCGGGACCCACCTTCAGAGAGAAGTTATCCGACCCTACACACATCAGGCGATCAAAGTCTGGACTGGAGACGCTGCGGCAGCTGCGGTTCCCGTTCAGCAGCTTGTTGAAACGCAGTTTAACCACCTCGTCGTGCTCACCCTCGAAGCGGTACACACAGCTGCAGAATGACGAAGGGCCTTTTAATTGCTGATTACACCGAGAGATGAACCGCAGGGAACAGAGGTCGACCATGTTGCTCACCTCAAGTTCTTGGAGCCACCTCTGCCGTAGAGGAAGATGTCCCTTGGACCCTGGAACCTGCGGTCGGGGTAGTGGTCACGGTTCCTGCTGTAGAATATCCTCGAGCAGGGCCCGTTCCCGAAGGCGTCGCCGTCCTGATGCAGATCGACGAACTCGTAGAGCGCCCGGAAATTGACTGGCCTGGAACGAGACATGGATAAAGACGGGCATTCAGGACTTCCAGGACTTTGAAAACTTGATCAGAAAATTCCGAGTTACGCAACATCGCGTGATCACTTGCCTAAGGGCGGTGGACTCGATCATGCGCATCTCGAGAGTGAGGCTGCTGCCAGAAGAGACGAAACTCTCCCCCAGGGAACAGGGCCGACTGGTGTTCCGCAGGATGGCATGGTCGCAGGTCCTGGGGACCTTGTCCTTGCAGTACCTGGCAAGGAGCGACGTGTTTCCAGCAGGACGCGCGATGGTGGCCTGCAAGGACTCTCCAGCCCTCTCGGGGTACCTTTGTCGTTCTTTCTCACTATGGATGAGGAGAGCGTTAGCGTCCCCCTTTTCGGGATCATCGGGATCAGCGCGAGGAACCAGGAGAAGCTGGGGAAATCTAGGGAAAAGCTGGGGAGGGGTGGGATGCTGAAACACTTCCGGGATCCCTCAGCCTCCTGGCTTGGAAAATATTCCGCTCCTTGAGGTCTCCCGAGGGAATTCAAGTTCTCCACGGACTCCTGATATTTTTCTTTGGGCAGAGCCCTCCCCTCTAGCGACCATCCCATGTTTTCCCAGGTTCCCCGGTTCCTCCTGGGCTCTGGAGTTTTGGTCCAGGAGGGACGACCAGATATTTTGTGTGCAAAGGGAGCTGACCTCACGTGTCGAGAGAAAAGAAGGGGTACGAACCAGGCGACGTCGTTGCACTCGTTCAGAGGCCTCATTTCGCCGTCCCAGATCATCAGGGTGGTGGAGCACTCGTCATCAAGGTTCGTCGGACTGGAGGCCACGTGGAACTTCAGTACCGACAGCCAGACCCGGAACTGGGGTTGCACGGGCCTGGGAGCTGGTCTCCTCCAGACGGTTCCTGGCCTCTGTTCTGGGAACTTGGGGAGAGGTCGAGGTGGCGTAGGACTTGGAAGAAGGGGCCCAGCCCCTCGGAGATGATACAGGCACGTGGTGTTCCTGGGCAGGCTATGCTTCGGCGAGGACAGGATCCCACCGCGAGTCCCCTGAAGCCAGAACTCGCAGCGCTTGTTCCTGGTGTAGGTCGGCGAGCTGGCGTCCACGAACTTGACCTGCAAAATGACCAAAAGCAACAGGGGCTGGACCCAAGTCCCTCCAACGAGAATTTGGAGAGAAGCATCGGGTGGTACCCACCTGAACCTCCAGCTGGAAGCCATGGAGCGAGTGTGGTGGCGTTGGGTGCAAGAAAGTCCCGAAGGGTGAGGTGGTGAATTCGACCAGGAGTTCGGGTCCGCTGCTGATGGCTTCCGGCACAGGCTCGCCACCCCCACAAAATTTAACGATCACGGGGTCCCTCGTCGTGTAGCCGTCATAGACCGTCACGTAGTCCTGACGGGCAACGAAACGTCAGACAGGTCCTAGAAGAGGAACGAAGATCATCCAGGAAGCTCGACTCACCTGGACGACGTCGCACTCCTGCCAGAGGCGCAGTTCCCTAGGTGGAGGCTCAACCTGGGTGGCAGGTCTTGCTCTGATGGCCACCAGTTGCCCTCGGGGTTGTCTGACGGATATCAGAGCGTGCTTTCCGGGCGGAACCTCGTGCTGGCGCACCTGGTTATTTTTAGGAAGGAAGGGATCACTCGACCAGGCGTTGTGAACAACCAGCAGGCCATGACCGACCCCACAACTCACCGCGTAGTAGCACGTCAGGTTGCGGGGATAGAGACCTGGGAAGTTGGGCGATTGCAGCCTGCATCTGTTCCTGTCGCAGTCGCTAAATATCCTGGAGCAGTACGTCCCCGAGATGAGGTCCCCTAAGTATTGCTCGTCCTCCGTCCTGGTTGGAAACACTTCACTGTCCACCATGTGCACCGGCATCGCCATGGAGCTGTTGGAGTAGTCCAAAGAAGTCTCCTGGATGCTGGGGGTGGTCGTGGTGGCTCTGGTCATTCCTTAAACCACACGTATCCGGGTCTAACGCTTTCCTCGATGACCTGGAGTCCAGAGGAACCTTCGGGATGACGGAGATGCTCACCGACGAACGGGTCCCCGTAACGCACGACCGCGTCCGACCTGCGGATCATCTTGTACGCCATTCGGAAGTCGAAGTTGTAGCCCGTTTGGTCCCTGCTGAGCCTGAGGAGTCTCAGGGTGATGGAGACACTGGAGGTCTCGCTGTAGTACATGGACGGGCCCCAGGAGGTCCCACACCACAGACCCCCCACGTCGGGTCGCTGGGCCTCCGAGATCTGCAGGGACCCGTCAGGACACCCCGCGGTGGTGAAGGAGACGAATTTCCCCAGGGTGAAGCTGTCGAAGGTCAGCTGCAACAGGACGTACGTGTCCGATTTTTTAAGTCGCAGTCGAGAACAAGATCCGACTATAACTGCAAGACTCGGGTATGCAAGACCAAGCCCAAACCCAAAACGACGGTAGCCTCGCATTGTTGCTCATCAGTACAATGGGACAGGGAGTCCACCCCCACGGGGTGGTTAAGCGAAGCCCTGGCGCTGGTTCCACCCCACGGGATACGCAGAGCGCCAGAAACATCAGGATTTAGGGGGGGCAGAGGGGCCCCTTCAACCGCGTCGCTCGGCATCCCTTGTCCCAGCATCCCCCCGGAGCTGTAATCCCAACACGGGGAAAAAGAGAAAGGGCGCGCGGCCACTCTTGGCGGAAATTAAACGTCCTTTCATCCCCCGGACGATTTTCCACGGCGCAAGCTCCGGACTTGATATTTCCCTTCCGACCCCGCAGTGCCAGCTCTCGTCTCGAGAGCCCCCGGGGGCTCCGGGGGGGGTTGCCCCGATTAGGCCACTTTTGATACCGAACCTCGTGGAGGTAGGGGTGGAAGTCGTCAAGACCCCGGAAGTCGAAGAAACTGCCCCGTAGGGGGCTGAAAGCTCGATTTCCAACTTCGCCCGGAAAATCGTTCACCTCAGGGAGGAAAATTCCGCGAATGTTCTTCTCGAAGATTTCCGAAGCGGATTAGAGGGGAGGGAGGAAAAGAAGGAGGCAGCCAAGTGGCGGTGTCGAGGTTATCAGGCGAGTGGGATGTTTGATCCGGGGGGTGAGCCGTGTATTTCTTTTTCCTTCCCTCCGCCCCCCGGGCGAGGGGCTGCCCTTTCCACGGCGGATGCGGAATATTTCCCGGCATTTTTCCGCCCTTTTCGCCGCTGCGTTTACACGGCGAAGCGTTTCGACCAGGACGGCCAGGGGGAGGGCACGGAGGCGTGCAACGAGATGCACCCGCGTCGATACTGCAACTGCAGTACTCGAGGCACGTGACTCGTTTCCGGTTACGGGTGCATGCGCGTGTTCACGTTACTCGTCCGCGAAGGAGGGCGAAAAGCTCGGATCCGAAAAGCGCGAATTACTATGCGGAACCCGGTCCCCGGAAGCGGAGGGGGAGGACAAAAGACATCGGGAAATGTCGTCTTATAATGCGGCGTCCCGAGTGCAAGGGAGCGCTCCATCTCCGGCTTATCGTTCCGTGATTACGAAGCGGGGTAGAAAGCTATTGCTACGATCGACCTCGATATCGATACCGCCAACCGACCTGTACGATGTCGCCGTAGTCGGACCCGGGGGCGGCGAAGGTGAGCTTGCAGACGTATGGCACCTTGTCCTCCTTCGGCCGGTGAAGCTCGAGGTCGTAGGTCTTGCCGACGTCGCCATAGTACGTCTTGTTGCAGGCTGGAATAAAAAATTAATTTATTTATTCATTTTTTTTTTCTGATAGGGAATTTTACTCGCACTTTTTTTTTCGTCGACGATTTACGCGCAGGTCGTATAACGCGAGCGCAGAGAGCGCGGCTCGTTTTCGTCGCCGCCCCGCGCGGGAAAAATGGCCCATTCCAGGGGGACGGTTGTTCGCGGCATGCAATCCGTATGTACATACATACGGGAACACTTGCGCCCGCCCTCGTATCACAGTGGATCCGGCCGCAATTGTGCCGGCGAAGTCTAAGCGCCTGGTCGGCTTTGCGTTATTGGATAGCGCGGCGCGCGGTCTGACCGCGAACGCGCTTTACTACTGCGGGATGCGGGCGCGCCGCGAGTGCGAGCGAGACGCCACTATAGGGGCGGCCGCGAGAGGGAGGGAGACGGAGCGAGGCCGAGCTCGCGGGGCTCCCAGAGGGGCTGACGAATGGCAGGGCTCTACTACTCGTCTCGGCCCGAGATAGAAGTACGACCGGCGCGTTCTACACGACCAGCTGACGGATCGCCGTGCTATATCACTGCCGTAAGGATCTCCCTAGGCGAGCAGTTCCGGAAAAGCGATGATTCGAGGGAAATCATCGCCTTTCCGAATTTTCTTTTTTCCCCGACAAGGGGTGGCCATTAACAAAAGCGATTATCTCGTGGAAGCCTCTAAGTGGAGGTTTAGAGAGGAAGTATTTTAAGATTCTGAGGTTTTTAAGGTTTTTAAGGTTTTTAAGGTTTCCAAGGTTCGTAAGGTCAACCCTTCCTTCCGTTTCCTTGGCAAGGAGTCATCGAATGCGGATGTTCCGCGCGGAACGGTGACTGGTGCCAAGGCGTTGTCTTCCCGGCGGTCTTCTGGTGGTTTGAAAATTCCGCACAAACTCCGCCGCTGGCGGAGGGACCGCGCCCGCCGTCCGAGGTATTCCCGAGCGTTGCCAAACCCGTTTGCACGATCCATTGGATTTTCCGCAATGCGGGGGGCGGCCGGGGCGACGAGCCCCTTGGGGTCCCCTTGCTGCACCCCTAGGATCTCCCATCGAGGAATCCTCCAAACGTTGAAGGGGTGGTCGGTGCGTCATCGGTGCATCCACTGAAAGATCGCGTGTGCAGGTGCAGGTGAGCAGCCCCGGGGGTTGGTTTAATGACGTTACCTGCGACGTGTGGACTCGTCTGCGGGATTGCACCCGCGCTCGATAAAAAGGGAGGGAGTCCGCCCGGTAGCTAGGGGGAGCGGAACCTGGGGGAAGACTTATCACCCTATCGGAGGACCCGGAAGGGCTTTGTCTGACGTTAATCAACCGACGTCTCGGGGGATGATAGCGTTTCTGGGATCCTGGGGGTGCGATTCCTTCCCCTGCTCTCCCCACGTTCATTTCGCCCCCGCGGCGGTTTTAGAGAATCGTTTCGACCACCCTACCCCCTTCCCTCTATTTTTTTTTTTTAATTTTTCCTTTGCCACCACTTTGTGACTCCCGTTTTTCGGAACCCGTCACCCCCCGGGCGAACTCGTCGAGGTGGTTTCCGCGCCCGGACGATTTCGCGACCATTTCGGGGACAAAACATCCCCGCCTTCCACCCTCGCCCTGTCACGCGGCGCGACGTCTGAGCGTCGCACTTGGCAGCATTTCCGAACAATGGGAACGCGTTTACCCCGGGGTTGCGGCACGTGGCGGCTCGGGCATCGGGTGCATCCCCTGGATGCACTTGGCTTCACTCAGGCGCATCTGCCTTTCGGATAGGCACACCCCCTCCCGGGGGGGTGGCTCCTCGATTTCCGCGAGCCACCCCCGCGGATGTAACCGAGTCTGGAAAAGAGAGACTCGGGGGAAACCACCGACTGCGTGGAAAGAGACGTGGGAACTTCGAAAGGGGTGAAACCGAGCTCGGCGAGGAAATGTTGATTCTCTCGTTAGGGGCGGCAGCGGTCGCGGTCGTTAGGCGGCGGATTCACCGCGCGGGTCGTTAGTCGGAGCGGGGGTGGAAGGGGTTCCGATCGTCGGCCGTTAATTGGCCCGAGTTAACCTTGAAAGAGTCGCCCCCTCGCAAAGAGGCGACGCGGGGCGACGACGGGCCCGGACAAAGCCCCCCCCCCCGGCAGGGGGCGAGGGAGTTATTAATCCTCCGAGCGTTGGCGGCGCTTAAATGCAACCCGCGATTCCGGCTCGATATTCAGCCATTATTTTTTTCCACCCTTGGCGCTCCGAGTCGTCCTTTTTCCGGGCCGTTTGCCCGCTCCCACCCCCCCGGCCTCCCGCCGAGGAACGCCGGGGGCGAACGCCCCCGTGGTTGATTTCCGCCCTGGAAAGCTCCGTTGTGACTTTGCCGGGACGAGCTTTCAACCCCCGGTCCCGGGGTTGCAAACGCACCCTTGTTCCACCCAGAGCCAAGCTCTACCCTCGATTCACCCTTACACGCGTGCACCCCTTAGGTCCCCTCGTTACGTTCCTACAGCCGACGCCGCGGCGTCGCCGTGGAAAGCGGAATGGAAAATGCGTCCAATCGGATCGCCCTCGTCGCCCCTCTCCCCCACAGGTCGCCCCTTTCATTCGAGCATCATTTTACACGGTTGTATTTTTCGCAACGAATGTATTCCTGGGGATCGATCGGTCGAGTGGTTTCCGTCATGGGGGAGCCACCCCCTTTACGGGGGCGTCCGTTTCCGGAAACGAGGGTGGCTCCTCGCGGTGGCGCGCCCCGGAAGAGGCTCGTCCGGGCAGCAGGAGTGGAAATGTGCGGAATCGCGTCCGCTTTGACCCGGATGCGGCCCGCTTGGCTCTCGGCCAGTTTTCTCCCCCTCGGGACCCCCTCTCACCCCTCTTTCTCTCCTTCGAATTCCCAGTGCCGATAGGGTGCAAGACGCTCCCTCGAAACGACCCCCCCCCCCCTCCCCCCGATAAACGCCGGGAAACGCGGCCACCCTCCACCCCATCCGAGGCGGTCGGACCTGCCCGGAAAGGCCGGAAGAAAAATTGCCCTCCGCGGCCGATCGACGCACGCGACGGGATTTAAACATTTTTTGAGAATGCAATTCGCAAAGAGACGACGCCGCGCAAACGTCTACGGATAAATGAGGTGGGAGTTGCCCCCGCCCCCCGGTTAATAGTCACGCACTCTAATCCCGAACTCCGGAAGCTATCTCCCTCTCTCTGTCCCTAGTTTCTCCAGAGACCCCCCTCCAGGCGTATCTCCCCCCTCCACCCACTTCCTCGAACGAGGACTCGCGCTTCCGCTAGCTGACGTCACCCTCTTCGGCTTGGCCAATCGGATCGACCCTCCCCCTTCGAGCCGGCCCCCCTCCGGGTCACATCCTAGATCTTCCAAGAGTTTCCTGGAGAACGACCCCGTGACATCCGGCGGGGTCCCTGGAGACCCCGGGACCCCGTGCGGGGGCGGCCGATCCCGGTCGGGTTTTCAACGGAATTAAACCCCCACCCTGTAGGGGGGACAGAGGGGAGTCTCTCGCGCGGGATTTCGCGCCCCAATTTGCGCCCGCTATCGAGCCGCGCTGACCTACCCCCCCTGGTGCGTTCCTCCTACTCCCTTCCCCCCCTTTGGCAGATGCAATAACCCGCCTGCCGATGCAACAGTGGATGCAACCCCTTCTCGTCGGGGGAAAACTTCGCGCCTGCCGATGAGCTCCACTCGGTTTGCGACCACCGCATCTGCACCGGTGCTCACATTCTCGACAGTTTCTCTCGACCCTGTCACGTGGCACTGTGGGGGTGGTCACCACACAATGGTGACAAGTTGTACCTCCGTCGACCCCTCCTTCCTGAGAAGGTGGAAGGGTGGAAACGAGCAGAATCGCTCCTCTGGTTACGATCTTTTTATCTCCATTTTCCCGGGGGAAGAATTTTCCCCGGGGGTTTCGGGGGCGGGGGGTGGGGTCGGGAGGCAGGGAAATGGAGGCGAGCGGGAATAATAAGGAGAACCTCGCGGGGACGATGCGCGACGGTTTCGCGGTTTCCGGGGTCACCAGGGGTAGAGGGAGACTCGGATGGGGGGGCGGCCGGCACAAAGGGTCCGTCGACTGTGAAAAAAGCCGCGGCCCGGAATGGACGGAAGCTCCGTGGCGAGAGCTTTTAAATTTCCTACGGACATCTTGTTTCCGCCGCGTTTCCATTTAACGCCACCCCCGTCCCCCCGAGCCTGTGTTTGCGGCCGCGGCCCACTTATTGTCGCGCCCTCCCCCCAGGGCGCGTTTCACCCGCACCCTTCGACCCCTTCTCGGGAATCGTTGGAGTCAAAGCCCGGGTCGAGAGAGGGGAAGGTGCGAGCTCGCTTTCTGGGGTGGGGGGGCTCTTCATTTTTGAATTAAAGTTACGGAGAAAGGGTTGAAGCCATCCCGGCGCTCTGACTTCGTTTAGGTCGACCTCGATTGTGACGCCTCACCTCCCCCCCTTCGGGGGACGATTTATCAGGAAAAGCGCCCTCCCAGGGGGACGTCGTATTATTTCGGAAGAAGAAAGGGCGGCTTGCTCGCCAAGCCGGTGGTACTCACGCGAGCAGGGCCGAGTCTCGTCGGAGTTGTCGCCGCAGTCGTCGAAGAGGTTGCAGACCTTGTTCAGGGCGACGCAGCGGCCATTCGTGCACTGGAACTCGCTCTGGCGACAGGCGAAACCGGCAGCGAAAGCGGCGAGCCAGACCACCAGCAGCGGCCCCGGGTCTGAAAGTCGGCAAGGCAGGTTCCTCTTATTCGATCTCCTCCTCCATACCAGAGGGGAATTCCCCTCCCGCCAAGGGGTGGGAAACCGCCCCAGCGAAAGGGTTCTCCGGAGGGAGAAAAAAAAAGGGGGGTTCCCACCGGTGTCGTCGCACCATTGTGGACTGGAGGAAAAGGGGCGAGTACTCGCGAGCGGGGCGATTCACCCCCAAACAAAAGCGAGCGTCTGCCGATAAGTGGATCGGATCAATTGGAATTCACCCCTAGGAATGTTGGGGGGGGGGGAGAGGGGCCAGGGTGAGACATTGTCGCCGGGACAGGAATAAAGTGGCTATCGATCGTAATCCGGCCTTAAAGGGGTATACACCCCCCGGCGACCTTAACGCGAACTCCTTTACCGACTGCGAGGGACCTGGGGAAAACTCCGTTCTGGTCTTCGAGGATGGCGAGAGGGGATTGAATAAAATGGAAGGACCCGCGCTCGGTCTCCCTGGGGGGGGAGGGTAAGAGGGAGATGGCGGGGGTCCCTTAAATCGATACAACGGGAAGGGATGCGCGGCATATCTCGGGGACGTAAAATTTGATCGCCGCGCGTCGTAAGGAATCTCGAAATTGCCCCGGTCGCCCCCGCGATAAGACCCCCCCTCACCCCCGCGCATTATTTACGGCGGAGGTTCCACCCCCTTTCCGGAGTTTTTCCGGGGTTTTTCGGGAGCAAACAACGCATTCGTCTCCGGGGCTTTGGGCGTCTGGGATATATTCTCCTGCCGTTCTCCTGGAAAACATCCCTCCGCCCCCCTTGGGTGCATATCGTCGATCTCGAAGGGTCTACCCGGGCCCCCTTTAGCAGAACTCGGTGTCCTCGTCCTTCAAGGAAAATCGATCCTCCCCTAAGTCGTGGGGTGCGTGAACTACGCCGGTTTCTTCGCCCCCATTTATTATTTTCCCGCGCGGGGGTGGAGGCAACCCCCGTCTCGACGCGAGAATTTCATGGGTGGAGGGACGACTAATCGCCCCGAAGCGTCTCACCCCCACGATCGGCGGTGACTTATCGGGTATCGGGGGCTGCGATTGGCGTTCGAAACTCAATTTGGGGGCCCGGCTTCGCAGGGGGGGTAAGGCACCCCGGAACGATGTTCTCGTCGGTCTATTTACTCCGCGGGAAAAGGGAGGTTAAAATTTAACCCCCGAGCCGCCTACGTGGGATTCGGTTACCTTTTTTACGCGCTTGGCAAACGACGAAGCGCGAGCGCGCCTCGAGAGGGTCGCAGGGAGAGCAGGGGGTGCAGCGGGCGAGGCCCCTGCGACCCTCCGCGACCCCGGCCACCCCCGTCGGGTCGCGCAATGTAAACGCGCCGAGACGGGAGCTTCGGTCGCGCCTTTGAGGAAAGAGCAACCCTCGAGGGTTGCTCTTTCTCGAGGGATCTCAAGGAACCGCGCCCTCCCCCTTACGAGGACGCTTCGCCCTGGCGGGAGTCAAAGAGGCGCCGAAGGAGCGCGTCCTTGACCCCCGTGTTCTCGAAAACGTGGGGGGCGCGAAAGGAGGCCCCCTCCACTGCGGGAGGGCTCCTCGAAAACGAAAGGAACCACCCTTGGAAAGCCTGGAATTTTTCTACGGCGCCTCCCCCTAAATCTCCAGAGATTAAGGGTCCCTCGAAAGGGTGGCGACTCAAGGTCCCGCAGAGCCCTCGCCGAAAATATTCTGTTTCCCTCCCAGACAGCAAGGAACCCTTTCCACCCCAGGTTTTAGTTTCCTATCTCCCTCCACGGGGTAAATTATAGAGGGGGTTGAAACGACGCCACCGACTTTGCGGAGAATGTACCCCTTTCGACTCGAAGTCCTCCAGCAGCGGCTCCGCGCGCTGCTCTTCCCGGCGCATCTTGGATTCACCCTCGGTCGTTTCCGAATTCCTAGGGGGTGGAATTCGATCCGGAAGTCGCGGGGAATCGGGAACCGATCCGCGCGGCTTTGAAGTCGCGCCTTAAAGGGGATGCTCGCGAGCAGCTCTCCTTTAGGATCGTAAAGTAGGGATGAAATTTCTGCAAAAAGGGCGGGACGGACCGTCGGGGTGCACCCGGGGAAAATTCATCTCGACGTCGCGTCTCAAGATGGTTCTCGCCCCACGCTCGTTTCGCCGTTCAATCCCGGCTTTAGTGCGCCCCCTACATCCCCCTTGGCCGCGATAAAGTTATATACTTTTTAGGGACTCCGCTCTCGAGTGATAGCGGCTGCAAAGGTCCCGCGGCGGCTTTGATCTCGCCGCGGGCCGTGGCTCCGTTTCTCTCGATATTTTTTCCCGCGAGCCCCGGTGGACGCGACCCTGCATCTTCCAATTCCAATTCCTCGACAGATTGTCCCGACAAGGATGGGGAAGAAGGAGAAAGAAAGAAGGGAGGAGAGACCCGGCGCCTTTCGTCCCGCTCCGCGTCTGGGGTGGAAAAGGGTGGAGGGTCGGGGGTCAAAGATCAAATCCAGGGGTGCGACGCGAACTTAATATGTATCTTTGCCAATCGATACACTTCGGGCGAACGTCAGATTTTTTTCAGAGAATTTATCGGACCTTCCTCCATCGAGGGGTTCCTATGGGGTTTGAGCCGAGGGCGGCTCCCGATAAAGGGGTGGCCAGTCCCCCCTGCTTTTCCGGACTGCATCGCCATGCCAGTTCGCCGCTGCAGGTCGGATTGACAAGCGTCGACCGAACCGCGAGCTTTCCCCCGTAAATCCAACCGCGATCGTTATTGGCGACCCCGTAATTCATGGGGGGGTTGAAAGCGCCCGGGGGTGGTATTCGAGCCCCTCGATCCCGCGTGAAATACTGCCCCAATCTCGACGGAGGAACTTCTTGTCGTTTCATTAAGAGAGGGAAACTTTATTCCTCCCCTCCCCCTCCCACCCACCCACCATTCATCCACTCGCCCTTAAGTTTCCTTTTTTCCGCGGAAATCGAAAGAATTACGGGCCGTTTGCTTCGATAACTCGAGGGTCGAGATTTCATCGACTTTTCCGGGACTCGGCGGCAATTTACAATAGTCTGCCCGGAATTTCCTCCGACGATTCCGCCCCCACCCCCTACCCCCTCGCGAGGAATTTCGCGACGAGCTATGGGGGTGCAAATTACAGAGGGGTGCCGCGGAGGCCTTGTAATTACTCCGGAGGATTCCATCGGGCGATTATCACGAGTTGGTTAATTTCCCTCCCTTGTGATCCTTTTTCTGGTACGACCCTTCGTTTAAACCTCCCCCACGGATTTCCTTAAGCAATTCCAACCCCCCCGGACCGTCGATTACGAGCCCCGCGGGGATATTAACGAAAAACGACGATGCATGGGAATTATCGGAAATCTTTTAGAGCATCATAATTTCATCACGGGATTACACGGTTACGGGTAATTTCCCGGGGTTGGTTACCCCCCGGGGGGATGGGATTTTCGCGACACTTCCGGATCCGGGGTATAAAGCGATCCGATCTTCGAAGGGATAAAATGGAGCAACGTGACATTACGAAATCTGATATCTCTGAAATCATCCCTGAATTCTTTACTCATGACTAAAAAGAAACCCCTTAAGGGAGAAAAGCAACACTAGTTACGGTCGCCATTCACCGTCCACCTAGGGACCGACAACAATGGATTCCGGGTCACCTGGGGCAAGGAGTCGGCCGAGGAAGCGGATTCGGGGTAAGTCGTCGATCCGGAAACCGATCGATCGATCGGAAAATCGGGGAGTCCCCCGATCGGAAATCCCGAGGGAGGTGAATCGGGGTTTAACGAGCTAGCACACCTGCCCCACGGAGATACGTCCCAAGGGAGGTGGAGGCCTCGCGGAGGGGCGGGGGGCTTCACCCCCAAACCCATTCTCGTATTTAATATCGATCCCTGGAGGGTCGCGAGCTCCCCCGACCCCTCCCCCTCTTTATGGGATTTCGCGTGAATTTCTTTCGCCCTCGGAAGCGTGCGAGGCTCGTTATCGGCCGCCAGGTGGCGATAAATCCAGGGCTCGGCTTGACGCCCCCCGACTTTTAAGCGAATTCGATTATGCAAGGGGCGACGGGGGGTGTGGGGCGATCCCCGGAAAAGGGATCCTCAAAACCGGGACGTCCAGGAGCGGGAACCCAATCGGCGGGGTCCTCTCCCGCGGGATGCGCTTATCGGTGATCCCGGGGTATAAATCGAGCCAATTAAACGGCGAGGTACCGGAAGTAGTCGGAGCTCCCGAAAGAATCGCCCCCGATCAATCGATCGATCCGGCCGGTGCAGCTGCAGCTGTCGGCGGAGCTTGTCGGACGTTAAGGCGATTACCGAAACGATATCGGATCCTCCTATCTCCTTGGCAGATCCCCCCTCCGGCCCCTTTCCCTTGGCAGGCTACAAATTGCACCGGACAGATAAACGGAGGGGGAGGAAAAACAAGGAAAAGGGCTGGAAATGCAAGGAAAAGGGGTGAATAGAATCGAGACGTGGCTTTAGTCGGTGATATGGGGTTTCGCTAGAATTTCGGGGTTCCAAGATGGCGCCGGCCGGACTGGACTCTCAGAGGGGGCGAGAGGAGTCGCGCTAACGAATGCCGGGCGAATCCATTACTCGATCGAGCAGCGTTGCTGGTTCGGTTGGCATCCACCGGGGGAGAATAATTTCGTTTCCCTGCCGGATGCTCCCGGGACTCCCGGGGGTGCGCCGGGATCTCAGCCCGGAGGCTGCGCTCCCGTCCCGCGAGCGGCGCCTCGTAGCTCGCGCCGGGACTCGGCTTCCCGACTTGAAAGTCTCCAAAGAGACTTCGGCATCCGGATATGTTATGCACCGGGTATGTACATATAAGAGTGTGCACATATATATATATATATTTATGTGCCTACCTGTGCACGCACACGGGAAGAAAACTCGATCTAAAAATTACGAGTCGGCGGAGGATCGGTTTTTTTTACGAGCCGGCCAACTTGGGGCGCACTTTACGAGCCCAGGACTCCCGACTTCGGCCCTCTCCCGTGGGATTAGCCTGTAAGGTCCAGAAGAGGAGGCGAGGGAGGCGGTTCCCCGGTAATTCGATTATTTTAGTCCCTTATCCGCAAGCTGGAAGAGAGGAAGGCTCCCCTATCCCTCGGAAGCCTCGGGACGTTCCTCCAGGATTTTCCTCCCAGGAGGCGGTGGAAGGATCTCCGCCTTCCTAGGCTTTCCATCCTTTGTCCGAGCCTTGAAGAAGCCTCCCCGAGGACCGGGAGCCATCTCCTCCCCCGAACTGTCCCGTAAACGTCCGTTGGAAATCCGGGATCGGACGTTCCTCCCCCTGGGATGAAAGTGGGAGGGGAAGGACCTGGATCGCCGCTCGGAGTCCTGGAAATACCTTGAAAGAGGCGGTTCTATCCGGTCGACGGACTCGCAGGTGGACGTCACTTGGTTGAGTCCTTCTCGAAGGGTGAGCATCCCCGGGAGTCCCGAAGGACGAGAGGGACGGAGGATCCTGCCCTGCAGCGGGGAACTTTGGGGGAAGCTCTTCATTCCCCAGGGACTCTATGAAGGAGGAAGAGGAGGAGCGAAGGTTGGCGTTAATAATGCAACCTGCCGAGGTTGGAGGAACCCTCTCGAGGTGCATCCTGCGATCGCTCCTGTCTGCAGGAGATAACGGAAGATGCAGAAGGTGCAACTGGTACGAGCAAGGAGGTCGGGAACTATTTACACGTCCCTCCCCGCGTTTCCTTTTTTCCTCGTTTCCTTTTCACACCCCCCAACGGCCTTGAGAGGGTGAGCTCTCCTCGGGGTGGAGGCAGGGTACGATAGGATTTTCGTGCTTTCTTCACCTGGAGAGGGCGGAGAAGGGCAAAAAGTGCAACTTTCCTCCTCGGGGGATGAATCTCCGTCCTCTCTTCCTGCTCCTCTCTCCCTTCCGCTTCCTTCGCCCTGGAAGGAGCCCGGCCCGAGTTTCCGGGCGCACGGGGGCACAAGTGGCCTCCAAAGGACCGGGAAAGGTGTCCTCTTAATTCGTTTCTGCCATTTCATCCCCGGCTCCTTACCTCTCTTCCTTTCATCCCCCCACCGCGCGTTTCTTCCGCCTTGATCTCGCCCTCCGCCGTCCACGGGGTAAATCACAGGGAAAATCGTCGCCCGACCACTTCGAGCGGGCCTCGAGAGGTCGTTTCCTTTGCGGGAGATCAGAGGAAGAGAAGGACGAGAGAAAGGGAGAGAATGAGAGAGAAAGAGGGGCTCCGTTCGACTTCTCTCCGGAGGTTGTTCCTGGAAGAGAGCAACGGCTCCTCCCGAGAGGAATCCCGTCTGGTGGGTCCCCATGGGGCATGGTGCCCCCTGTATACCCCGGATCCCGGAGACGGGGTAAGAAGGAGTTCTTTTTACGAGGAGCTCAAAAGGGATGTCGCGGAAAGCTCTCCCGGTGAGAAATCCCGTTGGAGGAGGAGTGGGTCGAGCTACGCCGCGTCGCCACCCTTAAGCTCGGAACTTCCTGGGGAAAATATTTATTCTGGGTGCCCGAGTCTTGCCCCCAGCCCCTTCTATTTTTCCCGGAAGATCCGAGGACGAGAGTCACCAGAAAAGAGGTCATCGACCGGTCCTTTCTTCGTCCTTCCGGGCACGAGTGGTGGCCCGTGGTTCGCTTCTTAGGAATCGTGCATCCTGCACCCTCAGCCCTCCTCCTCCAGGACCCAGTTCCGCTCCTCAAGGGGAACTCGCAGGATTCCCGGACTCGTCGGCAACTGCGGACTCCCTCGAGATCGGAAAACTCGGGACTGGGCCATCGCAGGGCTGGGCAAACATCCGGGAAACGCGCGGAAAAATTGCCTCTCCGGAAGCCCTCGGAGAACCGCGCGCTAAAAGGGGGGCATCGAGTAGGTGCGAGGGGTGTACGGGGGTGAATGGGGGGTACACGAGGGTGGACG